TGTTAACTCCATGCAACTAATGGTTGGTAGACCATGCATGCTTGTTAACTCCTTGCCACTAATGGTTGGTAGAAAATGCATGCTTGTTAACTCAGTCTGTGTTTTTTTCTATGATATCAATGTCATATGTAACTATGGATCTTTTGCTTTTTATAAAGTTACCATAGTACCCATGGTTTTTCTACAGTTAGTAACCATGGTTTTTCTACAGTTAGTAACCATGGTTTTTCTATAGTTAGTAACCATGGTTTTTCTATAGTTAGTAACCATGGTTTTTCCAACTCATTGTTATGTTGTTTGTTGATGAAATATTATGACATGTCAAATTTCGCTATGAGTTTAAAAATGTACAATGTTTGTTAACTTTTTTCACATTTTCCGATAATTTCTTTGATAATCATTGATAATCGATTGGTCTTATAAAATTAAGTTTTTGAAAAAACCTGGAAAAATTGATTTTAAGGCAACTTGATGAGCTTGCACATTAGTATTGATGACATGACATGACATGACATGACATGACATGACATGACATGACATGACATGACATGACATGACATGACATGGGATTTGATAGCAGGTATGTTAATTTATGTAAATCGATTTTGCCAAAATTTGATGTTTAGTTGGTTTTGTTTTACAGAGAGTTAGCCGAGAAGGTTCCATTAGAAGTGAATCCATATTCCTATGACTCTCCCCACACTAAGGCTCATCTATTGTTCCAAACCCACTTCTCAAGACTCCAGCTTCCATCTACTGATTATGCCACGGATACCAAGTCAGTGCTGGACCAGTCCATCAGGATTTTGCAGGTAGGGATGATGCTTGGAATGATAGCGCCCTCTATTGCACACACATAAAATCCTCTTGTTTTTGGCGATTGTCAATGTGTATGACATTAGTATTCAAGATAGGCATAGTAAATAGGGAGTGAAACAACATTAACACCTTGGATACTAAAACTCTTCCCACCAGCAATTTTTGTGAAAATTTTTTTTAGTTGTGCGTATTTCTATTATTTTGTTAAATTTGGACAAATAAAACAAATCCAAATTTTTGAAAAGTTTTGTATACTGTCAGAGGTACATTACTTGGGGTTTGCAATGCGCATAGTACTGTATGGTGACATCATGTCAAGATCCCATTCAAGTCTCTTCTCGTAGATAGCGAGACTGACGCTACGACCTTCTGACATGACATGGGCGGTTTGTAATAAAACATGTATTACATTCATAGCGAAAAAATGTAATACATCGAAAATGTACAGAAAATATAGTTATCGTAATCCGTCATATCGTGAGCAGCTATTTTGATCCACCTGGACATTCCAGTATCCTAGTTACCTCGGGCATGCGCATTCGCATTTTTCTGAGTTGGAACGCTTGTGCGAGAGCGAGATTGAAACGGGATCTTAGTATCATGTCACTGTAGTTGCAAACCCCAAGTAATGTACCTCTGATACTGTGAATTAGGCCTGTGACAGTGAAAATCACAGAATTTTGTAGAAGTAAAGACTGTTCTGACATTGAGTGTCTGATTTTCACAAAATGTTCTTTTCATGAATACAATAAAGTGCTAAGATCATTTCAAGCATTAAAAATCAATCAGTTTACTGTATAATGTGACAAGTTTGAATCCTTTAAATAAACCTGTGGTATTACAGATACTTAAAATTGTTTGTCACCTTGTTCTCTTATAGGCTATGATAGACACTGCTGCAGATGAAGGGTGGTTAGTGACATGTCTACGTATAATGCATCTAGTACAGATGGTGATACAAGGAAGATGGTTCCATGATTCTACGTTGATGTCACTACCTCATGTTGAAGTACATCATTTACACTGCTTCAGGTAATCTCACTATCACCTCTCTTTTAACACTTTAAAGTGAAATCCTACTCATAAATAAAAATACACAGAATTTTTGCAAAAAGTTTTACTGAAGAGCAATTTAAGAATATTGAAAAAGAAGTTCAGTAGTCACTGGCCTATCAATAAAATAATGGTTGCATTTCAGTGAATGTTGGCCATTATGTAAGTTTTTTTAGCTCCGCTGTCGACTTTGTAAAGCGGAGCTTATCATATGAGTGATTGTCCACCCTTGTTCGTCTCATCTTTTTATTTATTGACTTCTTGAAATCTACAATTGTTATTGCTTTGATACTTGGTGTATATGTACCTTGGGTAGGCCTCTCTCAGATTTGTTCATTTCGTTATGATATCTTCAATTCTCTAATTTTAATGAATATTTTTGTTATTTTTGGTGAAAAAGTTGCGAGTTTCTGCGATATGCAAGAAATTCTACGTAAAAAAGTAACAAATATCATATCCCTCTCAAAAGAGAAATCCAAATTTGAAATCAAATCATTCAAGTTTTGTGGCAGAAGTTTGATTTGTGTCTTTCGTGTATTATGCTTGATCTCTCAGTGAATGGGAAATTTAATTATACAAATGTGATCAAAAACTTTCTTTAAAGCCAAACTATTTATAAATTTTTTGATGTTAATGTTAATCGCTTCTGTACAGCACTTTTCTGGATTTACAAATGCCTATGATAAAATACTTTTGAAATATCACAAAAATCTAGTTTTAAAAAATTTTTATTAACATTTTTTATGGAATTGTTGAGGACAATGTTCTCAAAATACTGTATAGTGCCACACAAAAGAATAACTCAGTGACTGTGTATAATAAACTAATGAATATTGTCTGGACTAACTTTCTCCAAAATTATGAGTAAGGTTTCTGCGTTGTTGGAAACATACCACACCACATTGTACATAACTCACTGCATGCAGGAAATAACTTCTGTCACCTGAGTAGCTGCACTCTGAAATTCTATATTTTGTTATTTTTTTTTTTACCTCTCAGACCTGTGAAGGTTGCCCATGGTTACCAAGGACCAATAGAATGTCTTCCAGAATTAGTGACAGCCTGTAATGGTAAAAGAAGTGTATTGCAGCGTATGCTAGAGAGAGAAATGTCAGACTGGGAGATTGAGGAGGTATGAAATGAACACTGACCACCCACTAAATGCTACAGAATTCTATATTTGATTTTGCATTCATTTTCTAAATGATGGATGAGTAAAAAATAAATCTTAGCAGTGAACAAAGGTGTATCACTATGTGCTATTGTATAGTAGTAAACCTATTTGCTTTGAAACTGAGAGGCTATGGGTTTGGTCCCAATACTACCAAAAAAAAAACAAAAAAACTTGCGCCTCGTACATTTTTGCATACTAGTAAAGTGCCCACATATGATAGAATAGAGATACGTTTTCTGTTTCAGAGAATGTTTTGTTGATTCAAATCAACCTTTGATGCACATGTTTGAAAGGATTATTTAATAAAAGTTCAATGTATAATGTATGTATAACAAAAACTCAATAAAAAAAATTAAAACTGCATAATTTTTCAAACTGACTGTCCACAAAAGCATTTTTCAGAAAATACTGCATAGTTTCCAATCATATGGGAAGATGAAATAAATTTGAGACTGAGAAATATTTTTCAATATGTACCCCGCTCTGTCTTGCATTGTTGTAGATGTATTTAGTATATTATTTTTATGAGAAAAACTAGTCAATATCTTTATCCATCTTTGATGTAGATATGGCAAGTT